TAATCGTGAACACTCTATTGAAATATTAAATTCCATTAAGATAACAACATAAATTTTTGAATAACATTACACATAATCGAATCACCTAATAACATAATAGTTTTTATCTTCTTATCTTGCCTTTTAGATTTAAATATACATGTTTAAGTCTTACAGGTATGAATTCCAAATTCAGAGAGCATTTTATTTCTATGTTTTTAATTAATATTGCAATAGAATATTTAAAGACCTGGCATGTGCTTTTTAAAACTTCCATTCAATTTTTTTCTTTTATTTATTTATTTATTTATTTTAATATTATTTTTTTACATTCTATGACGTTGTTGCAGAGCAGTTGGGAAGGAGAGGGAGAGGGAAAAGGGGAAGGACAGGTAATGGAAGAAGGAGGAAGGAGTAGGTATGGGATTGAGTTCTGTGGCACCCCCCTCATTTCCACAAGGAAACCCATGGGGCTTCTAGTGGTGTCTTGGTCATTGCTTGGCTGGATGCAGATGTCAAGGAGGTGTAGCAAAAGCCCTCATCCCCTACCACCCCAGCTTGGGAACTGGGGGCCCTTCTTGCTGTGGCTTGGTAGTCATCGCTGGGCTGGTTGTGTGTGTCAGGGGCATGGCCGAGGTCTGAGGCCTCCTACTTCCCCAGGTCAGGAGGCCTGGGGAGCTTTCTGCAGCAGCTCCGTGGTCTCTCCTTGGCTGGCTGCAGGTGTTGGGGGAGCATGGCTGATCCTAAGACTTTGGCTCCCCACCACCTTGGATTGGGAGAGCCTGGGGGGGCAGCCTGCCATGGCTCAGTGGTCACTGCTAGACTGGCTGTGCGTGTTGGGGGGATGTGGCTGAGGCCCTCATCCCCCTCCATCAGGATTGGTTGCAGGTGTTAGGGGGCATTGCTGAGGCCCCTGTCCCTCCCCCCTTTCTGGCTTGGTAGCCCATGGGACTTCACTTCTAGGTATTATAGGTGAAATGAGACCTCTGCTAGTTAATATGGAACTTTGTCTCTGGTCTATGGGTATTTTGTTTTTACATCCAGCTCTGTGTTGTATTATTTGCTGTTTCCACCTTTTAAACTCGGCAGTGGAACTAATTTGCTGTCCTTTGCTTACTTCTAAAATGGGGGAACTTCCTGTGAGGACCAGTACTTGAGCTGTTTGGTTGAGGAAAATTGCTGCTTTGCTGCTGGTTCTATAGGGAAGGCTTTTTGTGCAGCTCAGGTTTTAATGGTTGACTTTATAGGTACTTTCCACTCTCTAGAGATCCAGTGCACTTGGGTTGTGTAGAAACTCTGGTCTGGGCCTGACTCTTTTCATCAAACTGCACACCATGCAGTTCTGTATTCCTGACCAGTCTCCTCTATGTGGTCCTATGCTGATTGGGGTGCAGATTAGCTGTCCTTGCTGTGCCCCAGTGTTCTCCTAGTGGGTCCATCTCCCCCACTGCCTGTGCTTCAAACACTTCCTATGGGATGGGCCATGCTCTGGTCCCTTTCAATGACTCACTGGCGTGTGAGTGGTTCCTTTTTTTTTAGTTGTTGTGGCTCCTATGTGGGTCCACGGGAACCCTGTTAGTGGTATTGCTGGCCTGGGGGCAACTAAGGCCCTCTTCTCCTTTGCTGCCTCCAAGCAACTTCATCCAAAGGGCACAGCTGCAGCTTTTGCCAGCTCCTGCTTCATGTCCTCAGCAGCTCCAGCCTGGAAGCAGATGAGATTCGTAATGGTCGGAGCGATTTTTTCTTTCTCTCATAGTGGCTTCTCTTACCTTCCTGCACACTGTAGGTCTCTCCTCCTGTTCCCCTGAGCTCTAGTGATCCCAGCTTGGCTGTATTGCTTTTTTATAGTTGTAAATTAGTTGATTTGTGGGAGAGAGTGATGCTGAGGACCGTCTATTCCACCATCTTGACCAGAAGTCCCATTCAATTTTATTCAGGCACACAAGCATATACACGTGTATATGCACATATATATGGATTATTGTTTTTGTATTTTTTTTCCAAATTGGAGCCAGAGTTTTAAACATTAATTTCCCTGAAAATTGTTTTTCTCCAAAAGCAATTTAATATGAACATCCGTCCAAGAGATTAGTTATAAATCTAATTGATTATTTTTGATAGCTATATAATTTACATCATACATTCTGTGTTTCAATTATTTGTTTTAGTGTCTGTAACCCAAGTTAACCCAGAAAGTGAGCTCTTTGAAAGCAGATAACCCCTGTTTCATATTCATATTTTCAAGATTTAACACAGAGTTTGGCATGTAGAGGTCAGTGAATATCTATGAGTAAATAGAGTATGTGTGAATGAATAAATATTTTTATTTTTTCTAAAAATGTTATTCCCTTTAGACAGTATGTTTGACAGAGGTTAACTGGGGTGAAGTGGAATTGGAATTGGGGATCTATCAGAGTAATTAGGGAGATCATAGAGAACTTTCAGATGTAATCACGGGCACTGAAAAAAGAATAGTCATTGAATACATGGAAGGAGGAGAGAAAAAAAATAAAAAAACTGGGTTAAGGGCTGGGTTAAGTTAGAGTCTTGGGATTGAGAACGAGTAACCAATCTAACATGGCTACAGCAGAGTTTTATAGGTAAGAATAAAGACTGGTGAGAGATTGTCAAATTTCCTATCTCTTGAAAGTAAAGCTATTTATAATTTATAATACTTCATGAGAGATTCTGAATGGGGTGGCATATGATTCTAACCATAATTTAGAAGTTTGCTCTGTAACGAATGTGTTAAATAGGTTGAGTTGAAGAGAACATTAAAATAAGCTAGAAAATTGGCTCTTTGAAGAATCTAGTAAATAGGGGCCTGGGCTAGAGGAGGGACAATGTGATACCAATTTAGAAATGATTATGAGGGAAAAAACTATCTAAGAAAATCAATCAGATCTCAAATCTAAGTTTGTCCCCTTCCTCATTCCTTTGACATAGAGTTATACCCCTTTTCATGTGTAAGAGAGTGCCAAAATGAATTTTGGAATTAAGAAAAATATATTTCGCAATTTAAAATAGTATAAAAATTGATGTAATTCATTTGTATATAATTATGTGTAGTTATAACAGATGCCAAAATATGTATCATTGGATGAATTTAGGAGATTCCACTGCTGAGAGAAAAATAAAAAAGTAAAAATATTTTCAAAATTATACAACTCCTCATTTATGCTTTTTTAAATATATATTTGGCATATTTGTGAGAAAATATCCATAAGGATAAACAAGACATGAAAAGAGGTTAGGTAAATCTGGAGAGTCAAACACATTCAAGATATCAGTTTATACTTATTAGTCACAATTATAAAAAAATCAGATAGGTATGTCAGATCCTCCAACACGTTTTCCAGGAATCTAACCAAATTTCAGTAACATTGTCTTTGAAAAATAAATTTAAAATCAGATGTGTCAGAGTGGTGCACATATTCATATGAAGTGTCACAAATTCTTCTGTAAAGAGTTTCTCTCTCTCTCTCTCTCTCTCTCTCTCTCTCATATTTCTAACCTCATATGAAAGTAGCAAATATTTACTCATCAGTCTTTGTGTGGTAAATGCGAAAAATCTTTGAGAGACACTTGGGAATAGACTGAAATTCTGGAATGAGCAGGTAGAAAATGAAGGCAGAAAAATACAGATTCCTATTACATGGGACAACATATTAAACTCCAAATCAAAGTGGCTTTGTTGCATCATTTTCTGAGACAAAATAAAATAAAGTAAATAAATAAATAAATAAACCCAAAAAAGCGTAGGTTGTCTTTCAACCTGTTGAAAAGACTGGTACTTTTCCTAATTTACTTTTTTCTGGTAATAATATACGTGTCCATATATTGACAATTTTCTTTCACTTCATCTAAACTGGATAAAGTAATGCAGTGAAAACAATACCATTTTTTCTACACTTTGGATGATTGGAAGGTTTAGAAATTCCTTTACTTATTCATTTGCACTTATAGGTCATGTATATGTGTCTCATGAAGGATACCATTGTTGATTCATTTACTGCAGATTATGTGTCCTTTATAATTTTTTCATATTACACTGGTCTTCAGAATTATTATATATTTTATAATTTGTGATTTAGACATTATGTATGGTGAAATGTGAGATTTGAAGTGGTAACAATACTAATTCTAAGAAGACTTATCAATAGACTAAATAGACTCTAGAAAATCAAAAGAATAAAAGAAAAACAAATTATGAGTGGTAGACAAAACATGACCATATTGATTACATTACATTACATGTAAATACTTAAACTGAGGAACAAAAATTTCCAAACTGTACAAAAATACAAATCCAATTATATGATGATTATAAAAGATCCAACTTATATATAAAGTCACAGATCAGACTAAAGCAAAAATATGGAAATATGTGCATATATGCCATGCAGACTGCAAAAGAAAAAAACTGGCATGTCTAATATCGGATGACTTAGGAGTGACAAAAAAATTATAAGAGAAAGAGAGGGGCATTTCGTAGTGCTAAAAGGGGCAATTCTTCACAAAGACATAGATTCTTACCTTTGTAAGCAACTAAGAATAGCTTCAAAATATATGAAGCAATAGCTGACAGAATTGAAAGAAGGAATAGACAAATCTGTAATAACTTCTGGGTATTTTAATATCACTTTCAAGCCAATAGATAGAACAAAGAGAGAAAAATCAGTAAAAATATAGAAGCCTAAAATATAGTAACTTCCAAGCTCTTCACATATTGCTGATGAAACTGGACGTCTCTGATTTTTAAATCAATTTCATTATCTTCGCCAATGACAGCTATTGACTGTTTTTTTTTGTTTGTTTGTTTCCATCTGTTTTAAGGGCCTAATATTCCTGCTGCTTCTTGTATCTGTTAATTTTGAGTGAATACTGAATTGTGGTTATTGCACTTTTAGGCAATTGGATTTTGTTATTCTCTAAAAATGTTAAGTTTTATTCCTGTAGATAATATTTATTCAAGTCGTTTCTTTTGAATATTGTTTTTAAACTTCATAAGGTTGGTCTCGATGAACCTTTACAGTAGGACTGCTTTAGCCCTAATGGTAAGGCAGTCCCTTCTGGGGTCTTTATTAAGTACCTCGGCTGTTTAAGTCTTTTCATTCTGACTAGCTATTATCTATGTTAGCGCTAGTGAATTTCCACCTTGCAGTTTCTTTTTGGTGGCGGTTTACATTGGTGGCCTTGTGGCATGTCGCTTTATGCATATGCAGATTTCCATTAACTGAAAGACACAAGGGGACCTCTGAAAATCTATAGCCCTTTTGCTACATCACTCCCAACCCTCTGGTGCTTTGTCGCACAAATTCTAACTGATCACGTTCCTCTAATGTTGAACCCTTTCTTCTAAACTAATCAAATATAGTTAAGGAGTTTTTGGAACATCTTTATAGAAATGCAGATTTCACTGGTGGTGTGGAATGTTCAGCATTGTTGGTTACTATATAAATTTGGCAGACACAACCAGATCACTGAAAAACCTTTTCCAAGTAATTAAGAAATAACCTATTCTGGGTATTCAATCTGAGAAACAGAGGAGAGAAAAGTTCAATAGGATAAATAATACATTAAAAACTGTTCCTGTGTAGTCTATCCTACTTAAAATGTATGTTTCTTCTCAGAAAAATATAAAATTATATCATTTTGAGTCCTCGAAGTTAGAATATATTATAATATTTATCATTTCAAATCAGCACTCAAAATTTTCCCTGATTATTGGCAGCCTTAATAAATGAACTAACAATTAAAAAAAAAGAAGAAAGAAGGAAGGAAGGAAGGAAGGAAGGAAGGAAGGAAGGAAGGAAGGAAAGAAGGAAAGAAAAAAGAAAAAAAATAATAAATGTAAGCAGACATGCCCATTTTAAATAATTTAGACAATATACACCGATTTCAAATGTTATTAATTTATAGTCATTTTTTGTTTCTAATAAAGTTACTTAAGTGTGGATGGTTTGTGTGGGAGCATAAATTCTCATATCAAATGTACTTTACTCATCTTGTCTCAATTTTAAAGACAGACATTTTAACCTACAATTTGAACAACACTGAAGAGTTGGGACATATCAGTATATATCCCCTTATTGTAGTATGCATTCCTTTAAATATGGGAATAATGTATATCAGACTGTCTTTTAAAACTCTAATCTTGTGCCTTGTTGTATGATGAATATATACAAATATTTGCGAAAAGACTTTACTTGTATGAATCAAGATAACTCTCTCCCCATTGGTGTAAAACATTTTATGATACTGGAAATCTAATTGAGTTTTTAGAATTTCAACTCTTAGCTAAAGAGGAAAAAATACACAAATGATTCTTTCAAACTGGTACAGCTGTACCCTCTCACTGCATGATTAAAAAATAGAAAAGAATGTTCAAAATCAGGTGGGAATTACGAGTGGAGAACTTTTAAATAGGATGCATTTATTCATTCATTTGTTCATTCGTCTGTTCATTCCTCTGCGTTAAGCATCGTTCACTTTGCTCATGATGCTCCTCAGACTGGCTCTCTTTAGAGTCATTATGTATGAGATACACTGTAGAGTACGTTGTTTACTCTCGTAGAGCCAATACAAAGATTTTACAAAATTCTCTGTTTTCTTTTAGCCTGACTGTCTAAAAGGAATCTATGTGCCTCAGTTATTGGGCAAAAGAAAACCCTAGGAGTAATGAAACAGATATTAAATAGCTATAAGGGGTTAGACTCAAATAGTTAAGAACTGTTCGAGGAACAAACATTTGTCTATGAATCTATGTTAATTATAGGATACCCAAGAGGTTAACAAAAGATCTGTCTGTACTCATACCCAGCGGAGAGAGCACATTTGTGAGGACTGGAGACGAAATCACTTCTGGGCATCAAGGAGCCCTTTGAGTGCAATGTGCAGGCATCAGGAATGTAAGAGAACTCTGAAACTATAGCCTTCAAAGAGAATGCACACCCTGGGATGAATTTCTGTCTATGTTATAATAAGTGCAAGGTGACCAGCATCCAGATGATAGCAGGAATAAATGCTTACAGTTTAGAGGGGTGCTTCCAGAAACTAGCATCTATTGCTGATTTGAAACCAAAATTGTTTTATAAAATTGCATGTGTAAATGTAATAACAGAAGTTAAATGTAAGGTCAAATAAAGTTTTAACTTTTTAAATAAATGTGTTAATGCTAATGCATCAACATTTTAATTGAATGAAAGTAACATTTTTTTACATTACAGATTTAGCTCTGCACTATGCAAATACATCACATCTTACATCATGAAGGTCTAATATGGGGAAAAAAACATAAAGCAATAATGCTGACATACTTAAAGAAATTCTTAATATTTTATCACTCATTAGCAATAAAACTATGTTTCTTTCCTCAGAATAAAAGCTTGAAAAACAAACTCTTGTCAGGAAGCAAGCTGTGTGGCATTCACGCAGAAGAGGTGAGTGAATTTTCTCTTCTTCTAGATTCAACAGGCTGAAAAAAAATTAGTGCCAATTATTATTATTATTATTTTTAAACTCAGACACTGGTAATTTTTCCCCCTAAAAAATATGAAAATTTTTGAATGAGAAAATACAACATATTTTAAACTTTTTGGTATCTTTGAATGTTTAACATTGCACAGCTCAAAGATTTCTTTTTTTTTTTTTTTATTACACACAGTAAAGTGCCACTTTAATAGAATGATTTTCTGAATTCCTTTCTTACCTGGATTATCAGGATTTATTTTTTATAACGAATTCCTGGAAGTCCATGGAATTTTCTGATTTTTTTTCCTTGTACCATTTATGTGTTCTCTACAAAGTTTTGCCGTGACAATTGACTGTCAGAATGAAATTCTGGGACTGACCATAAACCTTACAAAACAATATATTGATTGGTTTCATTTGCTGAGTAGCAAAATTGACTCACGAGTTTCCTAGGGGAAAATAAGTCATTCAAGTTAATTTAGTTTTAACTAAAATAATTTCCTGTACTTACCATGTCTAATCTATCTGCTCTTATGGTGTCCTGTTTAATGTAAAATGTAGCTCATAGTAGGTAATTCTTAGTGATAGCAATGAAATGGTAGAGATAATGTCACAGTAAGTGATTGTACTTCAAGGAGAGGAGATAAGTTACTGTGTTAGTTGGATCCCCCAAGAAGCAGGCACAAAGATAAATTACATGTGCAAGAAATTTACTTAAGAAAAAGCAGGTGAATGATAAGGAACAGGTATAAGAGGTTTTATATCATGGTGAAGACCTGATAGCTGTGAAGGATGAGGGAAGAAAGGAGGTTTGGGTAGAACACAAACAGTAGATTACACAAGTTAAAAGTTTACACCTTTTTTCATAGTAGTCTGGAAGTAGGGCAAAGAGCTGCTGAAACAGCTCTGTCCTCTTCTAAATATAGAACCACCCCTGGTTTTAAATATCTTTACCTCTCATTATCATCTTCCATCAGGAGAGAAAGGGAAGGTTACCTGGTGAAGAGCAAGCATAGCTATTTATAACTCCAGCCAGGGAACAGGGTCATCTATCTCATTTCATGCTATTTGCCAAAACTAGGTCACATGCCTTGGCCAAAATGAAGGGAGGCTGGAAAATGCTTTTAGGTCACTGGTTATGTGCCCAGCCCACACTTGAGATTTCTCTTATTAAAGAAGGTGAGAATAGTCCTTGATAAACAAGTAAAAGTCATTATCACAAACACGAAAATTCCAGTCTAACATGCAATATAGTAGTACCTTTTATAATATCTTCCCAATAATATTGTGTATAAAGTGAATAATAAATTTCATTATAGAACTTAAAGGTTGATGCTCTGAGAGATGCCAGACTGAATGTTTTGTAGATCTGATGCAGTGTTTCATGACATTGCACTTTTTATTATGATAGAAATAGACTTGGACATTTTTTATATTTGATAGGTTTCTAGAAATCCCACAAATATGGTTTGTGCAGGTTCTGAATATCACTTACAAGAGGGTAAGCTAGTGGAATGATGCTTTGAATAAGAGATAGAAGCTGTATTCTGAGAAAGTCAACATGTTCCCAGGGTCCCCACAAGCACTCATGTATGTAAAAGAAAGGAGGTTCCTGGGAGAAAGTATCTGTAGTGTTTAGAAGAAAAAAAAAAATCAGGGTCTACCCTTATTTTTTAGCCATAATTTTAGTTCAAGAATAATCAAATCCCATTGACATCCAATAGACTGTCAATTTTTAAATTTCCCATGGCCAAACATTATCAAGGGAAGCTACTACAAATATCATCTACCATTATCACCACTATTATTTCATGAAAGAAGTGCTCTTTGAACATAAAAGTGTAGGAGGAAAAAAAATCAGACTAAAAGATAGTTTCCTAAATGTGGTATATGAGCCAAGCTAAAATGTTCTATCATGGTTGGCCTCCCCTTCATCTTCTCCCCTTCCTCACCTTTTTCTTATAGTCATCATCATCATTATCAAAAACGTTAATTTTCTGGTGGACTTGTGAAAACTTTCTGACTTATAGGCACCGACATTGAGAATTGCATTCAAAATTACTAAAATTACCAGTATAGTAATATCTTAATTGTTGAAAGAATATTCTTGTGATAATTTTAACTTTTCAAAATGTTGCCAACAAGCTAAAAGAAAGCAAAGTGTGAACTGGGTTTACAGTTAATGTTCATTACCAAAAATGAATGCACTCAGAATGTATTTATTCTTTGCATAATCTTTCACCAAATATTCAGACAGGATTTTGCTTTTTTAACTCACTGAAAATTAAAAGATGGCTGGAATATGCTACGCAGAGAAGAAATGAATGACTGTGAGAAGAACTTCTCAAAATTATTTTTTTATCATGATGACAAAGCTGAACTAATCTAGTCATTCAAGGTCATTAAGTGCAGAAAAAAAAAAAGCCATCTAGGTATTATTGTAGTTCCTGAATGAATCACTGTTTAGTAAAATAATTGACATATTAATAATGATTCCAAATTTTGAAGAAAAGTTTAAATTATATACTGTGCATTCTGTGTAAGTAGGCATTAAAAATTGAACCCCAATGGTTAAAATGAGTCCTTTCTGACACTTGAAAGATAAGGTATTGGTTCTATGGAAGAGTAGAAGTGGAGGGAATTGGGCAAATCATGTACATCATATTTAGTAATAATCTCCTATTCCCCGTCGATACTTATAAATGTTAGTTTCAGGGAAAAAAAGGAAGAAAGTCTTTTCTCCTGAGAGACTGTCCTAGCTGTAAATGAGTCCTGGACAGCAGATTAGAACAGATGGGAGGGCCAGCCAGGTGGCTCACTGGAGAGTGCGCCGCTTGGGAGTGTGGCGGCGCTCCCGCTGAGGGTTCAGATCCCATGTGGAGACCAGTTCCCGCTCACTGGCTGAGCGTGGTGCGGGTGCAACACCGAGGGTTGCAATCCCGTTACCGGTCAGTAAAAAAGACAAAAAGGAAAAAAAAAAAAAAAAAAAAGAACAGATGGGAGAAAATACCAATCAACTGTGCATTTGAAACTGTGAAAGATAACAGAAAGTGTCCTTAAATTATTAGCACAAAATAATGGTAACCATGTAAACCAGATTCATCTCAGAGAGAAAATGAATAAGTTAGAGATGCTGTGTCTGAAATATTATTGTGGGTCACTTGGGAAACTTGTGTGGGGAGGAGCAGAGTTGTAGCAAATGTAATTCTAAGTACAAGTGGAAAATTCAAAGGGTTGAGGGCTCAAGTTTCAT